AGTTTAACTGATAGAAAAATAGTTGTTGGTGGCCGTCTCAATAAACTTTCTTTAATGGTGTTTGTATCTTGTGATGGATGTGTGGATGCCAACATTGACTTTCATTCATTCCTGAAAAGTCGATTCTCTGAAGGTTTTTCCCGCTGACAGGAACAAATTGTTCTAAGTGACATTCCCCTGAACACCGTGTGACCTCTGACCTCAGTCCAAAGTCGGAGGATTGTTCCACACCAGCAGTTTTCCAACAGAAAAGCCCACTGAAGAAAGTTTTCCTTTTGCTCTACATTTGTTCCAACCACTTCAGCGACCCGAACACATGGAAACGATATCTCAGTACAAACTGGAAAACTGCTGCATGTTCTGAAGTTACTGCAGCCGGCCGACACACAAAATCAAAGTCAGTCCTGTTTCCTCACAGACAAACAGAAACGCTCTCTGTGGTGTTGTTGCACATTTGGTGCATGCTGTGACCTCATGGCATGTTTAATTTCAGGCGGAAAATCCCAATTCTTTCACATTAACATTTTTCTGAGGTCTGTTGTTTCAAATACAAAAACTGTGTCTTACTACAACTGACAAGAAAGATGTGGCTCTGTTTTTAACAAACTGCTACACGTTAAATGTTGGACAGAAGTGAAAGACTACCAAACAAAAGAAGGGAATAATAACGACAGGAATGATTCTGCGTCCTTCTCTGTTTCCTCTTTCGCAAATTTCACACTTGAGAGAAAGAACGAAGGATCGGAAAGAAAGAGAGAAAGAAAAAGACAGGAATAAAGGAAGAAAAGAGAAGAAGGAAGACAGGAAAGGAAAAGTGCAAGAATGAAAAGAATGAAAGAAAGAAAAAGAAAATAGATGGAAAGGGAAAAACGGAGGAAGGAAGGAAGGAAGGAAGAAAGAAATGAAGGAAAGAGAAAGAAAAAAGAAAAAGAGAATGAAACAGGAGGGAGGGAGGGAGGGAGGGAGGAAGGAAGGATTGAAAGAAAGAAAGAAAGAAAGAAAGAAAGAAAGAAAGAGGAGAGGACTTGAAAGAAAAGAAGACTTGAAAGAAAAGAAAGGAGGAAGCCAATCAGAAGGAAAAAAAGATTAAAATAAAAAGAAAAGGAGGTAGAGGAACAAAGGAGAATGAAATAATGGATGAAAGATGACAGGAACAATGGAAGAGAAAAAGGAACGATTTAAAGGTAAGAATGAAAGATGAGTAAAAGTCAGCAAAGAAAAAATGAAATGGAAAGAAAAGAGAAGAAAGGAAAGGGAGGTAAAGATGTGTTGTGCCTTGTGGCTCTTCTTTCTTCCTTGTTTATACATCAAGAAGATCTTTTTAATTTTTACTGCAGATTTTCACATGAATGAATGAATGATCTCGGCCTGTTTTTTGAACAAACCACAGATGAAACTCTGACTGGCTGCTTCTCATCACCCGGCTGTGGGCAGGTAGAAGTGCCTGACTGATGTGTGGTCACAAACAGAAGTTCAACTCTGACCTCCTCACCTCCTTCTCCAGCTCCTCTCCGGCCTCCAGGCTCTCATCTCCTCGCAGCAGCCGCAGCTTCTCCAACTGTCGCCGCTGCATTCGACCCGGCAGGAAGAAGTTCAGGGGGAATGGCATGTGCTCGGCGTACCAGCGACGAGTCACATCTACGTAGTTCTTCGGCTCGATCCAGAAGGTGTAGATCTGCGGAGATTCGGGAATGAATTTAGCAAAAGCAGCAGGTTTTCAATTGCTCTGAGTTAAAAGAGAGAAACGTGGCTCACCAGCGCCGGCATGAGTTTCTCCTCCATCAGAGAGATGAAGGCCAGGCTGTCAGCTCCCTCCTTGGCTGACAGATCGTAGTCTGCATTGTATTTCTAAAAAACACAAATCACATTCCATAGAAGCAGAGAAGAGAGCTGAACACTGTAGAAACCTTCGATGTTGCAGCAGGTCACAGATACACCTGAAAGACCCCAAAATATTCCAAAACAAGAACTCGTGCTATCCAACAACACCGATACAAATGTTTAAACACCAAAAACATGAATGAGAACAGTTTCATTGGAAATGAGTCAGATTTTTATTCCCTCAAAGTATTACTCTGCTTGCTACTAAAGATGTTTTGTGCCAATATAGTAACACAAAACATCCTAAATATCAAACAAAAAAAAAGAATTTGAAAAAGAAAAACAAATCTGAAAGGAGCACCAATAGATACACAATGAGCACAAAGAGATAAAAACCACCAAAACAAAGGTGCAAAATTACCACAAAGAGACAAAACTGACTGCAAAAAGACAAAACTGACCACAAAAGGGTCAAAAATGACTACAAAAAGAAACAAAATAACAACAACAACAAAAAAACAAACAAACACTAAATCCAGCAAAACCAATATGCAAAATAACAGAGTGGCACAAAACAACCACAAAATGACCAGAAAAAACTGCTAAATGACAACACTTAAGATGACCACAAAAGAGAAGGAAAAAAAAAGTTTTATTGGAAATGCTGATAAGGAAGCCGGATGCCCGCAGGAGCAGAAAAAGAAGGATGTAGTGTGACTGAAGAGAATAAATGCAAGTTAAATTCTGCAGCCGAGCGTGAAGCCAGCAGTTTTCTCCTCTGAGCTTCTTCAGCAGCTTTCCTGTCGCTGTGGTTTCTGAACAACCTACCGCAGTGTACAGGCAACGAGCATGCTGGGTAATGTTTTCCAGCTGCCCGTTAGCTGCTGAATGGAGGCTGGGGGCAGCGTTTGGCTCAGAGACGTGACTTCTACTGAGGGGAATGTGGGTCAGAGGACAACCAAGTGAAGGAAGAGCATCCAGATTTATAAATCAACTCTTCTCTTTGGGTTGCTGCTGTTTGCTTTGATTTCCAATTTACAGTTCTGTTTTTTCAAGGTACAATGTTGTCTTTTGTGGGTGGGGCCAGCAGGGACAGCAGGCACTGTTTGCACATTTGCAACTCTTGAAAAAAAGACTTTAGATGATGCAACAGGCAAGAAGTTTTCATTCAAGTAAGTAAATTCATGTGGTGTTGAAATAACAGGAAAAATAGACGGGGAAAATGTAAGTAAATGTCCCCTCAAGTTGGAAGAATGTCTGAAAGTGGTAAAAAGTGTTACATGACTTGTCGAGGAGTTTCACAAGAGACACAAAACAAACACGAAGAGATGCAAAAAATGAGTCATAAACTGATGAAAAATGCATGTAAATACACACAAGACGCAAACCGACCTCATAAAGGTGTAAATATAACCACTAGCAGATCCTCATGACCACAAAGAGATGCAAAATGACCAAACAACACGCAAAATTAACCCAAATAGGACACAAAGATGCAAATTAACAAAAGAAGACACAAAACGTTTAAGTCTGAGCAGCACTTTTGAAAGTTTGTAAAAATATTGGGACACAACTAACGACATAAACTCACAACAGAATAATATAAATGACCAACAAAAGATGCAAACGGACCCCAAAAAGACACAAAACAAAGATATAAACTAACAAAAAAAGACACAAAATGATGTGAACAATGGCAGACAATACAAATAAACGAAAAAGATAAAGAGAGCTACATATGACCCAAAACAAACCAAAAAGACCACAAAGAGACACAAAAATGAGACAAACTTGTAAATGACCACAAGGTGACAGTAACCAACACCAAAATGACACACACAAAAAAAAAATACACAAAAAGACCTAAACGCCCCCTTAAGTCTGAGCAGCGACTTGGGAAGTTGGTAAAAAATTTTGGCAGACAACTTGCAGAGTTGTTGACATCAGACATGGAGGAACAAAGTAGATGAGAGAGAGAAAAAACAACAAAAATATAAGGTAAACAAGACAAACAAACTCACAAGAGAGACACAAATGACTACAAAGAGACACAAAACAACCACAAAGAGACAAAAAATGAGGCATGAACAAACAAAAATCCACATAAACTCACAAGAGAGACGCAAACCGACCACACAAAGATGTAAACATAACCACAAGGAGATAGTGACTACAAGGAGATGCAAAATGACGAAAACAGCATGCAAAATTACTCCAAAAAGGACACAAATCAACAATAACAACAACAAAAGACACAACATGAGGTGAACGTCTCCTTAAGTCCGAGCAGCAACTTGCAAAGTTGTTGAAAATTTTCCAACACAACGTGGTGGACAAAAGTAAGACCACAAACAGACAAAAAATAACAAGAAAAATATATGTAAATTCACCAAAAAAATACAGGTAAATTAACAAAAAAAGACATGAAAACTCACAAGAGAGACCTAAATGACCACAAAGAGACAGAAAAAAATAGATATAAACTTGCAAAAAACAGACCTAAACTCACTAAACACACATTGATGACCACAAAAAGACAAACTGACAACAAAGATGTCAATGACCACAAGGAGACACCACAAAAAGACTGAAAACAAAGACATAAACTCACAAAAGAACAAATGACCAACAAAAGTCAAAAAGTGACCCCCAAAAGGACATAAAATAACAACTGAGTTGTGAACTGACAAAAGACAAGACATGAATCAACGTGAACGCCCCCTTAAGTCCGAGTAGCAACTTGGAAAGTTGGTGAAAATTTTAGCACACAACTTGCCAAGTTGTTGACGTCATATATGGAGGAACGTGGCAGAGCACAAAGAGACAAAAACCTCATCCCACCAGACTCTGATCAGTATTTCTGTGTGACATTAACATGTCCAGTTGTGTATAGAGCGACCTGAACAAGCTTGTCATCCACATTGTGCGTTTTTGAAGATGTAAATCTGTATGTTGCTGTTCATCTGTTCTCTTTCTGCTTTCTCCTGCTCAGCTTTATGAGAATTATCAGCTCTGTTGGAATGTGTCTCTGCTGCAGCTTCCTGTTGTTTAATGAGTTTTTCCAGTCGGCTGCAGACACACACACACAC